TCAACAGCCAACCCATTAGTACATTGGGTAATTGGAAGTATAATTTGTGTCACTTTCGGTTGTTATAGAATGCAAATGCCAAATTTTCACTATTTGGACTATCTTCAAAAGGTCTGTATTTTTGGGACATGTCCTATAGGGGTTTGTTTTTGTTCAGTAATTTTTACTACCGTACCGAAAGAAGAATAAAATAAATCAATTTTCGAAGAAATGATGCCGAATCACTAAAAGTTTCGACCAGTGAAGCTACTTTTAAATATGACAAGTGTGGCACTCTTATTTTATTGTCTGATTTGCAAGAGAAACTCCTGTTAGCGAACCCCTTTTTAATGACAATTGGTTTCAGTGGACATCAGATAAGTAATAAATAGTTGATCTTATTTGAGGAATGTGAATAATTTGGGAAGCGAAGGATCAAAAGTGAGAGATAGGTTCAAGTTGAAGACAAACAACTAAGATAGGTTTTGTGTTTTTGTGTTTTACAACTAAGATATAGGTTCTGAAGAGTGTGATCTAATGGCTAGGTAGTTTGTCAAGTAGCATTTGAATGTGGAAAAATTATTTGGAATTTTCGCACCGTGACATATTTGAAATTTGGACATTGAACTATGAGAAGCATTTGGAATGATGCTCTTTTGTGTTAGGTAGAGATGACACTTCTATGATTAGAAGAACTCCTCAATTAGGTATCTAGTACCAATTGAGCTCATTCTTTTCCCCAATTGCCAAATTATTTTGCAGTTGAATTTGGGAATTTCTTTTATCCCTACCAGTTATATAACGTAGGAGCCGACCCCAATTAATTGGGAAGAGGCTATGATGATGAGTTAGATAACATAGGAATTCATTTGCCCTCTTTAAACTCTCTTCTTACCAAACTAAATCTTCTTGTCACGAATCACAATTGCCATTGACATCAATAAAATGCATACTCAAATAAGGGTTAAAAATGAAATATCATACTTGATTAGGGGTTCACATGTATCGTGCTATTTCCATGACTATATTCTAAGCCTAACACCTCTTTCATCTGCAGTATGCGACCTTTAATCATGTCCTCATACTTAAAAGCGGCATCAGAGAAATTAGGTGCTTCATTGAAACACCAAGCCCTAATGTTAACATTTGCTGCTGGTTAAAAAAGTTCACCATTTCCTGCAACTAAGGTTGTGCCCTTGTCTTCGTCTTGGTGTAAAGAAAAGGGCATATAATGGCCTCTCTTGTACTCTCAATTGTGGCTTTTTTTTTCTCATCTTTTGCTTTTTTTTCATGAAATGATATTTAATTGTTTTGTTAATTGTGATTTCTTTCTTTTGTTTGAACTCTTGCTTTTTGATGGATGAATTATGAGAAAATTGGCAAATGCTAGGCTGCTTTGGGCAAGAAATAAGGAAACCTGAGAGATCGAGGGGAATTAAATGTATAATGTTATCTCATGATTTTTTTTATTAGTCAAATTGTGTTGTTCTATTGTTGTTTATGTTGATTTTATCTCCATGCCTGATTATTGTGCATACACAATTTGGTTTTGAAGTTCTAAATATGGATGGACCTCAATTTTCCTTTGCTAGAAATGAGTTAAAGCTTATAATTGCAAAACTATAATTTTTTTTTTTTGGAACTAAACGATGAAATGAAACTGGGATACCTCACTTTTTTCATTTGTTTTTTGTGAAATATTCTTTTTGCATGTATCTTTGTAATTTGGTCTGTGAATTGTATCATTTGTAGTCTTTTAAAAAACATAGCGATTAGTGGTTTAACTTGTGTGAGAACCAAGGGAAAGGGGATTGAGGAAATTTAGATATTGTTATACAAGTGCATTAATTTCTTTGATATGGACATTATGTCACATTATTTTTGGGGAAACCTTTTCTCAAACATTGATGTATAATTTGTGGGGAAACACCTTGGATTCCTGTTCTTGGTCAAGAAGTCACAAAAATCTGAGACGTTAATAGAAAGTGATTATTGTTATATAATTGCACATGCTTTTGGTGTAGAGAAATATGCACGGCTAGGTGGTTTAATTTAACACTTGCAACAAGAATGGAATAATGACACTTAGGGTTATCAATGATTCTATAGGATACATTTCATCTGTTTATCATTGGGCTTTCTTGTATTTTGTTTCTTGTCTTTTTTTATTTGTTTATTAATGATTTGGCCATTATGTGGCCTTTGTGTGTGTGTGTGCGCGTGTATGTAGCCATCACTATTGGCACAATTCCATTCCAAGTGGAAAGCCACCACCATGGCAGCATCCAAAGGGCAATGGATGAGTAGATGTCTGACAGTATCATCCACCTTAAGTATTACACATCATACACTTATGGAAGTTTCAACCTATGACTTTGAAATTTTTTTAATGTGAGAATCTTATCTATGTTCGCCAGCCAGCCACTTACCTCCAATCTGAGAGGAAGAAGGGCATCCCATACAAATCTGGCCACAAAGACTCCATGACCTGAGGGACCAGTGTTTCATGACACCGACACGGTTGTCAATATTTAGTACGTATCCAAGTGTCTAGTATGTGGAAAAAAACTCAGTATTTCCTTAATAAATGAGTAAGAGAATATAAATATATAATATAATGTATATATTTAATATATTGATATTCTATCCCATAAAGTTACATCAGTAGCAGCCTAGAACTGTTGTTTCATGACCAAATGATTTAAGATTCAAATACTATTGTAACTAACTTTTTATATTATAAAACCTCTATCCCACGAGGCCTACACGATTCGAAGCATACAATATTTGAATCTTGAAAAACCCCCACATGGCCTACAAGATTTAAATCCTTGAAAACCTTCATGGGGCTTAAAAGGCTTGAATCCCCTAAAAATAAGGCCCCAAAAGATAAAAGACAAAGCAACAAGTAGAGAACGAGCCTTAGAAGAGCAAGCAACATGTCATTCTATCAGGTAGACCATCAATGCTTTATGATATGAAACAGTAAGTTATTATATAAAGCACGTTAGAAAAAAATAGTATCAACGTTGTACTAAAATCTAATGATGTTATCAATATGAAGGGGGAAGGTCAACGCGTGTCGAAGTGTCAATACGTGTCGGCACACGACACCAAAGAAAATTACAAGTGTTGGGGTAACACTGAACTGAAGGTGGAAGTAGTTTCGCTTTGATGGGCAAAATAAGCGTGTATCTGAAGTGGACTTAGCATGAATCCGGTTAATCATTAAAGGCCAGAGTATAGTTCGGTAGAATCTGTTACATTTACAAAGTAAAGGTAAGTAAAGTGAGATAGTTAAAAGTGGGTACTATGATTAAGAATGTGGATATGAGCAAAGCATTTGATGAAAAGATGGATTAGAGCCTACATCCTAGAATCTCTAGGTTTCATGGGAAAATCGGAAAGGTGAGGCATTCCAAGACTAATGATGATGTAATCATCAACACGGATGTTGTTATTCGTGATGCCACAAAACACTAAATATCTAAGGAAATGCCCTTAGGAGAGTGTGTCAAGTTTGTTTTAGTCCCAAGGTATTTTAATATATATGAAGAGTTTGAACCACTTTTCAAAAAGCAAAGTGAACTCTTAATTTGGACCAGCCTACCAGGATGTCGCTCATTGGATAAAGTAAAAATAAATTGACTCTAAAAGAAGGTGGTACATCATCATCATCATCATCATCATTATAGGCATATCCTAACTAAAAGAAGGTGGTACATGTGTCACTTTTTGCCCTCTACCACTGATAGGAAGGAGAGTAAAGGAGGTCTTTCTGCCTAGTTTAGGGGATAATCTGAGTATCTGAAACTACAATAGTGAAGGTCAGATCTCGATAAGTCTTTCGCATTGAGTATTATCTAGTGTTAACCTGCCACTTGAGATTTTCTTTGGTGTCGCATGTTGACACTTATGTACAAATTGATACTCACCAATACCCCTTTTGACACTGGCCCATATGTATTGATGATGTCATTAGATTTCAGAACTGTGTCGTGGTTTTCCTCTAACATGTCTTATATAATAATTCACTACTTCATATCATAAAAGCATTAGTTGTTGCTTGCTCTTCTATCTAAGGTCTGATTTCTACTCGAAGATTCATGTTTTTTTCTGGCCATGTGGGGGTTTTCAAGGTTTCAAATTTTGTAGGCCATGTTTCTCTCAAACAAAATAATATAGGCCATGTGGGGAAAAAGTTTTATATAATATAAAAAACTATTCACAATAGGAATAAACTTTAAAGCTTTTGGTTATGAAGCACCAGTGCCACCATACTACCAACATAGCTTTGTGGGACTATAATGGGATTCTATATTAATATAATATATACATTGTATCATATATTTATATTCTCTTATTCGTTTGCATGAACATGTTAGGAAGTATTGGGCTTTTCACTCCACATACTAGACACTTGGATACGTATTAAATACCAACATAAGTGTTAGTGTCCATGTAACACTAACCGTTGACCCTTTTCTTTGTATTTACCATCCCTCTCTCTCCCTCTCTCTTTCTGTCTCTATACACACACAAACCAAACTCTGCTCCATTGTTGCAAAGAAAATCGAGCTCTCCCTCTCTCCTCATTTCGTCTTCATGCACAGAAGCTCCACTCTTCCCATCTCATTCTCCCTGGCATATTTTGGATCCATTTTCCACTCCATATTTAGCGACGACTCACCATTTTCCCCTCATTTTTTTTGTATGTCCCTTTCTTGGTCCGCTGTTATTGTTTCTCATTTCCACAGTCGACAATTTTGTGCAAGGTGAGAGAGAGATGGTCAAGGAAGATTGCAGGCTCTCAAATGGTTATGTTAAGCATACGCAAGTATCTATGCATTATAGCAGTAGGCTTTTTCCACTATCATGTTGCGAAATGTTTCATGCCCCTTTTTTTCTTTTCGTAGAAGATGTCCTGATATCAGAAATGTTAAGAGGCTTAATGAAATCTTGGGCATTTATAAGACTGTCGCAACGTTTATATCTATTTGTATAACCGTTGTATCTTCTAGTTCTTTTATAACATCACAGATTCCAGATTCAGAGTTGTAGAAGAAGCTATCAAGAATGACAAAGTTGGGGGATATAAGTATGTTAGTTAGACTTCATGATCAAATTTATTCTAGCAACGCACTTTGGCCTGAAGTTATTCAAATTTCACTGGTTTGTAAACCTTGGCATTTGTGTATTGGATGCAGCTTATTAATGTGTGTTTTCATTCATTCAAAGTGATCTATTGACTGGAATTTTTTTGTAGCTCACTTTCTGGTCAATACATCACCATTCTAGAACCTCCAACGAAGGCTAGAGGTATTTTACCTGTAGACTTTTTCCAGGCTGGTTAAAATCAATATCCATTAAACTTTTATTTTTCTCATGGTTTGGTCTGAGTAGTCTTATCAGCGTCAATCTGAATTAGCTTATGCAAGTGAATGTCCATCAATTGGACATACAGTTAATTTATAATGCCCATCTTCAGGTTTGGGTTGCATATGTCCTCATAGTATACGATACAACAATGGTGCTGGGTGGTCGCTTCATCATAGTGCAAAGTGATTTGCAAGTTGTTGTACAAATGACAAAGTTGAAATACTCAAGGGAAACTCCTCTATAGGACAGGAGTCAACAGCCGATTCAAAAGTACATTGGGAAATCAGAAGTCTTAATCTTGTTGTTGTGTTACTTTTGGTTCGATAGGGACCCAGATGTCAGATTCTCATTATTTGGAGATTCTCCATTAAGGTGTTTATTTTTGGGACCATTATTTTAAAAAGCGGACCGCCCAGCGCCTAGGTGGTCCAGAGAGCCTGACCGCCTCGCCCAGACCTAGGCGGCCGCCTAGGTGCCCTAGAACCTGCCTAGGCCGACGCCCAGGACCTGTGTCCTGCCCTAGGGCGGAAATGCTCCTCGTTGAGGAGCATTTTTAGGCCTTTTTTAATAAACAAGGGGGAAATTTGTGGGTTTTAGATTTATTTGAAACCTAAACCCCATTAGATCGATCTAAATGTCACTCACTGATCTTGTATTATGTGTACCCTAAGTCCCTAACTCTTGTCTTATGTGTTATACAGTTATATTGTTAGATTATGGACATTTTTCTTTCTCTTGGGCCGCCCAGGTTTTGGGCGTCCACCTAGGTACTGGGTGGCCTGGACCCCTCTGGCCACCTAGGCGCTGCCTTGCTTTTTTTGAAGCATTGTTTGGGACGTGCCCCAAATAGGTGTGATGCCATTTTTTTTGTTCTATAATTCGTATTACCTACTAAAAGAAAAAGAAACTAAAATTGGAAGAAAATATGTTAGACTGTGAAAAAGTGGGACCAGCGAAAGATTTTTTTGAATAATAGATAAGTGTGGGACTCCCTTTTTTTGTCTCATTGCCGGAGAAACTCGAATTAGTGAACCCTTGTTGATGAAATTCGGACTCCTTTTTAATGGACAGCAGCTAAGAAAGAAAATAGTTGTGACCTTATTTGTGAAATGTGGAAAAATTGGGAAGAGATCGAAAAATTGGGAAGAGATATCCCAAGTAAGAAATAAGTTCAAGTGAAGACAAGCAACTAAGGTAGTTCCTGAAGCATGTGATCTAATGATCTTACTGTGAGCTCGTGGAGAGCACTTTACATCCAGTCTTTTATATTTCCTTCGTACATTTTTTATACCTTAATACGGTAGGTGGTTTGCACTCTCAAACCCTTGCAAACTTAGTGAAAAAAAGAATTTGAGTATGTACTTCTGAGCGATGTAGTGATTAGACTCGTATATTGGGAGCCTTTGAGAGCCTTTTACTTTTCAGTCTTGTATAATCCTTTTATACAATCTTCCCACATTGATACAATGATTGGGCACTCGCTTTAACCTCCACTAACTTTGCCAAAAAATAACAAAAATATCTAATGGCTGGGTGGCATGTCAAGTAGGATTTGAAGTGGAAAAATGATTTGGACCTTGTTCGTGGTGACTTAATTGTACTTTGGACAATGAAATATGAAAAGTGTATGGAATGTTTCTCTTGTATCTTAGGTAGAAATGACATTTCAAAGACTAGAATAACTCCTCAATTAGCTGTCTAGTGTTGATTGATTTTCCAATTTGCCAAATTATTCTGCAGTCGAATTTGGAATTTTCTTTTCAATTTACCTGATACATAGTCTTTGTTTCTCTGTTTTGACGATTACAGCCTTCTAGCAATTTACAAATAATGTAATGGTTTGGCATTTAACTTTGTGCAGATGAGAAGGGAAAATTTGACGAGCTAGTTGAGGATAAAGGTGTCAAAATTCTAATTGATCCGAAAGCACTCATGCATGTCATAGGGACACAAATGGACTTTGTAGATGATACATTAAAGTAAATCTACTGCCTCTCTCAGTCTTGACATACTGCCCTTTTTCCTTGCACACCTGCACCCCCCCCCCTCCCCCACACACACACACGCGTGCACACAGACAATTTTATATCTTATACATTTTGCCTTGCTGCCTATTTCTTGCAAATGCATTGCTTATCTTTCTCGGCCGTAGGAATCTCTCTCTCCTCTGCCTTTTCTCATGCAAATAAACCCATCGTCTCTCTCTACGTTAGATATGCCCCCTGGGCCCCCAAGACCCACAATCTCTATCTGATTCTTGTCATATCACGATGAAATATGCAATCTCTCTATCTGAAAGAGAAATCCTCCACTGTATTTCTAAATTGAGAGCACCCTCTCTCTCTCTCTCTTTCTCTCTCTCCCTCGCACATGCCTTCCTGACACAAACCTCTCTCTCTCTGTGACAAAAGTGATTTGTTTTGCAGGTCTGAGTTTATTTTCATTAATCCCAACTCAAAAGGGCAATGTGGCTGTGGAGAATCCTTCATGACTACAAGTAGTGGTGCTAACAAACAAGGAACCAGTTAAGAAGCTCTTGATTTTGTTGCCCTTGTAATGACTGAGAGGCCCATCTACTAAAATTTCCACTCATCCCTTACATTTGAGCCACTAGTAAGTTGAAGAAAGAGTGAAAACTGACCTTGTTTTCCAAAATATTGTTTTTCACAACAATAATTTTATCTTGGGTATTGCTGCTTCCAGTGGGCCTCTTATTCTTCTCCTGTAGATTCTCCTGGCCTGTAATTCTTTGTATTTTGTTTTATATTGACATTTCTTGTTGATTGAACTGCTAAAAGAAAAAGCTTGATCGTGTATATGGAATTAGTGTATTTTACAATGATATTCTATATTTGAGGAAGAAAGTGCAGTTGTTAATGCTCTCTCTCTCATTGCTCATATATATATATATATATCTATATATATATTAGTTCACCAGTTAGCTAGCTGCTTTTTTAAGGCCACATGTTCTCTCTCTCTCTCCCCCTATATTAGTTCACCAGTTAGCTCGCTGCTTTTTTAAGGCCTCGTGTTCTCTCTCTCTCTCTCCAACCAAGACATAAGTAGCATGGTCTTTCTGCTACCAGACATCATCTCTCTCTCTCGTTACGTTCTAGCTGCTTTTTTTTTAGGGCCACATGTTTTGTCTGTTTCTCTCTCTTTGCAGCCAAGACATCAGTAGCATGGTCTTTGTGCTGCCAAATATCATGTCTCTCTCTCCTTCAGTTCACCTGTTAGCAGTTCACCTGTTAGCTAGCTGCTTTTTTTAAGACCACATGTTCTGTCTGTTTCTCTTTCTTTCCCCGCAAACCAAGACATCGGTAGCATGGTCTCTTTGCTACCAGACCATGATTGATAATGGCATTAGTGATAAAGACAAGCAGTGGTATAGAAGCCTCCTATGTCTATGCAGCCTCCTCTGTCTATGCATAGAAAAACATAAAGGGAGCAAAGGGATCGCTTCCTATGTGACCCCACCCACATATATGGTATATGTGACTCTTGTTCTCAGCCATAAGATATGAGTGGAGGGCTTAAGGCACAATGTCACAAGCTATCACTTACCTGTCAAATCTTGATCAGACAGTTCATAATATTTTATTTTAATTTTTTATTGTACAGATAATTTTGAAGCAAAATTTGGGGCATAAATGGATATAACAAGGGCTTACATGATAAAATAGTTAAAAAATATATTTTTGGTGATGAAAGCTTACCATAATACCTTTCTGAAAATTACATGGGCATTTTGGTAATTTATTTTTATGTAAAATATTTTTTTCATTTTTTCCAGGTTTGCTTTATTTTTCTGATGGGATGTTCAAAATTTCATTAAAAAATATTTTGTAAGAAAAAAATAAAAAATAAAACAGTATTTGACATGACATTGTGGTATAAACAATCGTAATTGTTTGATTTAGATCAAACGGCTAAAAAGTGGGGTTGCATATATAACTTATTTATTGTTGGGGTCACATAAACATTTCCTAGACAAAAAAGCCTATACTCTTCTGTGCTGGAAAAAAAAATGCAATATAGTGCACTTCACTTCAAAGAAAAAAAATTCCATATCGTCTTTGTAAGTAGAAAATTCGGGCTCCAGGCACATTTTTTCTTGTCATTTTACTTGTACTTTATATTCAGTGTTCACTTAAAAAGTCTCAAGTAAAACGTAAATCGAGGGGGATGTACAAAATCTTTGGAGAACACAACTCAACATGGACAACAGCCACGACAATTCACTGTTCGTAAAATAATAATTATTTTTAGTCATTGGATATAAAATCTAATAGATTGAAGGGTGTCATAACAATTAAAAAGTTTTGTTTTGGATATTGTGCCCAATTAATAGCATATCTTCGAGCTTTCACATCCAACAGTCAATAATAATTGTAACCTCTTGTATGAAATGATTACATCACTTAAATTGACCAGCCACACGAATCTAAGCTGTCCATTGAGATGAACTATAAAATGATTCATTAGCTCTGAAGGAAACCAGAGGAAAAACTGAATTTGCCTATCACTCTTAGCCAAAGTTTGAATTTTAATGTAGGCATTTAAAAACAAACTATAATATGCATCTTTAAAAGTTGAATAAAACAATAATAATAATAACAAATTTTCCCTCCATCAAATTCTTGCTCAGGAGCATAGTAGGCATTTACTCGAGAACCCTATTTTCTTTTTTTGTTTACAGTGTAACTCGAGTAGTCATTGTTATCTAAGTCAGTTAAGACTTTCAATAGCTTATTTAAAAGCCAAATTGGTTCTTTTTACCTTTTCTTTTTCATCAGTAAGCTTGAATTCTGGCATGCATTGTAGGACACGAAACTCAGATCCCTGAACTCCCATACTATTTGTGTTTTAGGATGTTACCCTTTAGAAACTAGATGCATTGTTCTTTCGCATCTTGGTCTTTTTTATTTTTTATTTTTATTTAAGTATCAATTAACATAGGTTCATACTTCATGATAAGATGTGGCGAAGTGTTACGCTGTCTTCCTACCTAATGCACCCACCTCCTATAACTGAGTTTGAGACAGAGTAGGTGACAGTTTAAAATCCTTACCCTTCTTAGCCTCAATGTATAATGGCCTCCTGTATATACATCAAAATAAAATTTACCATGCTCTCCTTTCTTTTTTGTGATTATAGTGCTCCATACTCGCACTTCCATCTTTTCGTATAGTTGAGTTATTTCATTGCATTTGAGGAATTTATGTACTCGACAAGGTCAATCGTGTTACTAAGTTCCTTAAATTTCTGGATGAGGGTGTAATTTTATTCATTCATGGTTTTTGGCATGAGGTTTGCACTTCATTGGGAACCATTCCATTTAATGTGGTGGTCTGTCCTAATGTGTCTCCCTTTGTAGGAATCAGGTGCTCATATGTGATGTCCCCTTTGTCTCTAGCATAGTAGACCAGCTAATGTATATTTTGGTCATTTTATTTCATTATTTTTTATGTTTTGTAAATCATCGAAACAACGTTTATGGTTCAAAGAGTGAACAACTAATGTATTCCACTTGTCCATTCTAAAATGGACGGTTGAGATAGCTTTAATCATAATGTCTCCCAATTAGTCTCTTATCGTTTGATTTCAATCAGAGGACTCAAACTTTTTATTTATTTTTTCTACAAATCATTTTGAAATGTAATTTGACGTTTCCCAATTCTCACAAGGCACACCTAAAAAACTGAAAAACATATTATTTAATAATAAATTTATGACTAAAATGTCATTATAACTTTTTGGAGTATTTTGGTCATTTTATTTTTGTTGCGCGTTTCCAAAGAGTAAACACACTCCAAATTTTGTATCAAGATGATTTGTAAAAATTAAAAAAATAAAATAAAAGGTGAGGTTTGTGTAAGCTCTCAACTTAAAATAATCAAAGTAATGTGCACCTCTAAATTTTGATAAAATATGTCAATCTGGAAACTTGCAATAGCTTAAAAATCTTTTTCCACCTATTATAATATAAATACTTAAAATCAAAATTGTAAGGTCAAGACAATCAATTGTAAGGTCTTTCAACATCAAAATCATCTCCTCGACTAAAATTTTTTAGATGCGCCTTACGTCTACAGTACAAAAGATAAGATTATAGGTAGGCGCAAAATTGTGACTAAAGCTATCGACGATTGAGAATAGGGCTGGTCAACCCGACCCTAAAAAATTGGGCCTTGGTCCACAAATTGTGGCCCTAGAGATGGGCTAGGGCTAGGGCTCATAAAATCAAATTGGAACAGTGAACTGCACATGGGCCCGGAAGTGGTTTAACCAGTAAACCAGTCGATTCAATCGCTCTAACTGGATAAGTCCCCAGTGATCAAAAACGTGTTAAAAAAAAAATACAAAAAAAAATCTACTAAAATATGAAATGCATATAAAGAATGATTAAAACAAAACACATTCAAATGAGGTTGAAAATTCATGAAAAAATGGATTTAACGAATCAGCTTGTGTATAAGGGTATTTTTAATTTTTTTTGAAAAAAAGGGAAAATATAAAAGAAAGTATTAATGACCAAATTTTTTTTTAGTCTTTACCATAATGTAAATAATATTAAAAATTATATTACAAATCAAATTGCTCATTTTAAAAAAATTATATATATTTTTTGAATTTTTTAAAAAATTTTGTTGATCACTAAAAGTCTAAAACTGTCCAAAACTTGAACTAGCCACTTCTAACCAGGAGATTAGCGATTAGATCACCCTGTTTTTTCAATAGTAGTTATGGCCTATACCAGCCCGGCCCAACCTTTCTCTTTTTTTTTCCTTTCTTTTTTTTTCATTTGTTTTTTTGCCTCCCCTAACCTTGTGGGCCATTGAGGCTACCTCGACCCGGCCCGTTGCCAAACTTAGTAAAGAATAGAAGTTGGGTGAGTTTTGCACAATGGCCACGCGACATGAAGGTTTCCCAGATACTGCGCGCGAAATATCCTCGGTGGAATGGTTTCTCGTAAGGGACAGTTTCTATGTGTCCGCCAAACACATGTAAAAATGCGCTCTTTTTAATAATTTATTTTTTAAATAGAACTTAATTCTAATTTTTAAAATATATATAATTGTAAAAATAATTTTTAGAGAATTTAATTTTATAGAATTATGAGTAGTCTGTAAAAATAATAAATTTTAAAAACTAGACATGATATTTTTTGAAAAAATATTTGATAGTTTTTTTTGGACTATTATTTACGGTGTAAACTGGTGTAGATCTCCAACACACCATACAATTCTCCTTCCCGAAATAGAAAGCGAGTATCATCTACGGTGGCAGATTGTCCCGACAATGACAGTATTTTTAATCACCGTACAATCAATTTAATGGACGTTAGAGAAAAATATTCCATTTGCAATGGTTTTCTTTTAGTTTGTTTCTCAAAGTGTACGTTGGAATTTAAAAACTAAAGTGGAGAATTGGGTTTTGGAATGAAGAAAAGAAGGTGATTGATTGTGTTCTAGGGTTTCAGTAGAAGAAATGAAGTTTTCTGGGTTTCGTCATTGTCAGGAATTGATTAGCGTTATCAGATCGAAGCCGAAGGAGGAGCTGGATTATTGTAGGGTTTTAGAACCTGAATCTCTAAGGTTTTTATATTAGGAAAAAAATTGAACTTTTGAAGGTTTTTCTGGCTATTGGAATTGATTAGGGTTCTTCTTGGTGGACGAAGGAGATGGGAGAATCTGCAGAGGAGCAGAGTGTGCTTGATGCCACTCGTGCTATAGTGTTTAAGCAGTCGGAGCTACTTGATGGCAAGTTTGAGAAAATCAGTGGCTACGATTTCAACAATGGAGTTGATTATGAGAAGCTTCTTGGTTCGATGATCACAACTGGTTTTCAAGCCTCGAATTTAGGCGAAGCCATCTCCACTGTGAATCAAATGGTTATTGGTTTTTTTTTCATTGCGTTTTTCCTTGAAGAAGTTCATCTGAATTGATTAATCTATTGCGTTCCTGAAAAGTTATGTTTTATATGAATTTTATCTGTTTTTGGTTGAGTTACCAATAGAATAGCTGAAAATACTGGGTTTTATTTATTCTTGAGTTGATTTATCTAAAAAATTCCTGAATAGTATTGTTGTGAATTTATTTATTAATTGATTTATCTATGAGATGCCTGAAAATGCCCTTTTTTTTTAACTGGTGATCTATGAAATGCCTGAAAATTGCTCCATTTTGAATTTGTATTTGTTCTTTAACTAATTTGCGAATAACAATTGGTGAAAAAGCTGCATTTATTTATTTTCAATTGATTTATCGCTATAATGGCTGATAATGATTCATTTTCTTCATTTTTAAACTGATTGATCAATAAAACGGATGAAATTGCTGCATTATTGATATATTTCACATGGATATATTTGATTATTTCATGGGTCAAAGTACGATTGGAGGCTGAGCTGTGGTGATCTTTCTGAGGATTATAGTGAAGACAAGAGAGATCTAGTGTTTAGGAGTTCCTTAAAATGTTTCTTTGCATTAGTATTTGGATTGAGTTATCAGCTAAATAACTAATATGCTGAATTTTATTTGCTTTTGCATTGTTTTATTAATGAAAGCTGCATCTTATTTGTTTTTTAATTGAAGCATCAATAAAATGCTAAAAAATGCTGCATTTTTTACTTTGAATTGATTTAGCAATAAAATATCTGGAAATTGCTCCATTTTTATCTATTCTTATGCCTATTTATTCAATTGTTCACTGTGTTGCAGTTAGATTGGAGGCTGAGCGATGAAGAGCCATCTGAAGACTGTAATGGAAAGGAAACAGATTTGGAGTACAGGAAGTCAGTTAAGTGTAAGGTGTTCCTAGGTTTCACCTCCAATCTCATATCTTCTGGTGTTCGGGAAACAGTCAGGTTTCTTGCAGAGCATAAAATGGTGAGTATTTTTTGTTATTAATAATTGTTTATATCTTTTATAATATTATGCTTAGTTGAATAAGTTGCAATTTAATCGATGGTGATAAATTATGGGACAATATGGGTCTCTTTTTCCTAGTAATTCACTAGAAAAGGAAAAAATATGAGTATCATTGGGACATATATGGAAAATAGATAGGAAATTCTCCTCATGATATTTTTTCGAATCAAAGATGTTGTGTGAAATTTCAGCCCAAACAAATCCTTCCCGCTATTTGTTTTGACCCTTCGGCATGTACTATAGCCAGTAGGCGGTTAGCCTATGGAATCTCTTTTTATCTGTGTATCTGTATATGTGTGTGTGTGTGTGTGTTTTGGTGTGTGTATTGATATGTGTGTGCGTGTGTGTTTTGGTGTGTGTATTGATGTGTGTGTGTTTTGGTGTGTGTATTGATGTGTGTGCATTTGCAACACATTTGACTAACCCCTTTTCTATTTTTATCGTTTTTCTTTTTTTACCCGAAGCTTATAGATAGTCTTAAGATGACCAGATGAACCTAGAAAAAGGAAAAAAATGATTATGGGCTCATCTAAACTTAGATCTGATCCCCCATCAAAATGAATGAACCTTATTGACTTTGTTCAAGAAAACCATTTTCTACAGTTTTCTTTGAATTTTTGTCCTAGTGATCCAATTAAGGCGCACCTCCAAATTTTATTATAACATATAATTTTGGTGTAAAAAATTCTTTGGATTATCTGAAAATCTATTTTTATCTCTAATTATAAAATTGTAAACTCCAAAAATGGTTAAAATCAAGTAGATCTATAAACATATGAAAATCTTGAAAATGGACAGTCTAGATAATGTGTTGCAAGATGCACTATTTATGGGACTCAAAATGTTTTTCTTTTTTTTTTCATATGAATACATCTCGATGTTGAGATGATCTATTAGAGGGTTTTTCAACATTAAAATAACTTTCTCCGATTGATTTTTGAGGTGCATCTTTAATTCTACATTTTAAGGTTGCAACCTTATATAAACTTTTGCCTATATATATATAAGGATATCATTAGCCTCAAGGTCTTGCTTGTAGGGGTCCTGTTTGGGCCTTTATTAGGTATATTGCATATGATTTCACCATGAGTTATTGATGTGCATGTGTATATGGAACACCCAACTAATCTTACATTTCTAATGATGTTCTACCATATTTGGCTCCTTTTATGTCAAATGGTGAACCTCGGACTTTCCCCTTTAACTTTTTAATTTATTTAGAGTTATGTTCTATTTCTAAAGGTTCATTCTAGCTAATGATATAGCCACTGACATCAGCGTCATCAGAATCTGACTAGCCATTGAGCTGGTGAGACTGGTCCAACCATCAATGGAACTAGTTGGACCAGATTTTAAAAGGATAATGAAAAATAGCAACAATAGTTTATGCAAAACAAAAAGGTTGCCCAACTTTGTTTAGCAAGTCTAGCTAGTCAATATTGATCTGATTGGCCAAATTGTTCAAATGTTTCTTTTGACCAATTTCCTACCAAACCTAGTTATTGCTTTGGGCTAGACCGCCCAAGGCATTGGTTGGTGGTCTAATTGGTCAGACTGGACGGTTCAGTTCATTGATATCTATGACTTTCATAAGTCTCTACCCATGAGTATTTCTATTATATAATTAGCCACTCAATCATTGAACTAAATGAGAATTATAGATCAAGCTCTAGCAAAACGTATTAACAACCACAGATGTAAACACAGATTCCCTTGCACCTCGAAGATTTGCCATTGGAGGCTTTGTGCCTCCATAGTCCTTCAAAGTTGACGTTGTTTCACTCTTCATTCAATGGTGCAACATTTAGTAATAGGAACTTATAGATTTTTTTATCTAAACAATAAATGATCTAATACCAACTGATCGTTTATAAATTGATATTTATTCAATCTTTTTATAGTTTGTACTACTCACTCAAAATAGAGAGTTGCATTTTGTAAAAACCAACTAATGCTACTTAATCCTATGAGGTAATGTGAAATCATCTACTTTGATGCTTATTAAAAACAATAATCTTACTGGTCATGCCCATAAGTCTGGTCCCAATGCTAGTGTACTTGATCTTTGACGTGAATTAAATGCAGATTGACATATAGAGTTGAGGCTTTCTTGTTTCTTCAATGAGTTTTGGTGACAACTAAGGATAATAGGACCATCTGGCAGGTAGATGTGATGGTTACCACTGCTGGCGGGATTGAAGAAGACATTATTAAATGTCTTGCACCGACTTTCAGTGGTGAGTTTTCTCTTCCCGGAGCGTATCTAAGGTCAAAGGGATTGAACCGCATTGGTAATTTGCTGGTTCCTAATGACAACTACTGCAAATTCGAAAATTGGATCATCCCGCTTTTTCAGCAAATGTTGAAGGAGCAATCTGAAAAGGTATGGATCAACTAACTAAGTTAGAAGCACTTCCAATCTATCTTTTTGTTTTTGGTAAGGCATTTTCCTAGTAGGGGTAGCGTTTTTAATGGTTAGAAGTAGTTGTTGCTTCAGACTTTTTGTTTGTCTTGTTTTCTTCTTAAGATCATTGCATTTCAATTTTTAGTGTGCATTCGAGAAATATGCCTCATAGCTTCTTCCAAGCTTTGCAATGAAATGAATTTAATATAATGATTCAGAATCTTGTGATTTTTGGAAATGCTTTATATAAGAAACAAGTGCTTTATATTATTAACTGGATATCTGGATGTGCCCTTTTACATGTTTCAAGTCTTAATTGTAGATATGTTTGCATGAAGGTGTCAAGGATTAGAACTCATTAAATTTACTCCAAAATACCACACAACCTCACGTACCTGTCTACCCTTGGGACTCGGTCTTAGGCTTGATTGGATACATTGTCAGTCATTGCAGCATAACATCCCAAGTTTGAATCCTACCGTTGACCTACCAAAAGAAAAATATCCAAAGCGGTGTACCAATGACAAACGTTTATCTCTTCTCTGAACCATGAATTAGGCAGATCACAGATGCAGTCCATGGAGAGCATCAAACATTTTTGCTGCTTTGAGTCATGTTCGTCTATCTTGCCTTGCAGATTGTCAGGGATTGTGGTGCTTTGATATCTGTCTGCTGGCATGACACGAAGTAATGGGCTTGGTATTTCATGATGTTGCCTGTTTATATTTAACACAAGGCGTCTGTGTTTCTTTTGTTGGCTACCATTTAAATCTTTGCTAATTTACGAACTCTTGAGATGACTATCACTTGTTGAGTCCTAATGAATGTGTTGAGGTGCATACTGGAAGCCCATCTGACTCCACCCATCATAAGGCATTTGTGGTTGTTGCCTTATTGAGTATGTTTGCCTAGCCTTAATGTGCTATTCTAGTGGAACTCTATCTTTATATGGCAAATATTCGAACACTATGTCTCATAGGGGCCTTTTCCCTGAGTAGTTCATCAATCATTGGATATATTCTTGTATTTTATGCATACTAACATAGTTGATAGAAAGGGGATAGCTGTCATAGATAAGTGTGAGAAACAATATATCCAAATGACATGACTCAGGATTGGAAATGTGTAGCAGCTGTTAGAAAAATTTGTTGACAAAGAAATTGATGAACAGTAGCTCCAAAAAATGCCTGAAAATTAGAGATTAGATGAGAGCTCATGGACGTCTGGTGAGAAAGCTGCTGGAGGACCATGGAAAAATATGCCTTGTATGCATTGCTCTCTCATTAAATGGAAAATGTATTGAGCGTGTATCTGAAATTCTGAAGCATGTACTGGGAAGAACCAATTTCTCTCATCAAGTTTCCCAACAACTATAGACATGTTGCATGCGGTCTGTTCGAGAATCACTTGTTGTATGGTTTATGCTCGGTGGGGCCTCACAATTTGTTTTTAGTATTCATTTGTGCAGGTCACATTTTGGGTACTAACATATCTTCCTAAGGACATGTTGTTCTATCCATGGATGGTTACGTGTGAATAAATTGGTGTAACTAACACCTATATGCCCTCCACATGTTGATGAGAAACTTCTAGTCTGTTTAAAAACAATTACTAAAAGCACCTCCTTTAACAATTTGTTGAATGTATTCCTTCAACAATTGTTAAACGACTACTACTAATAATTGTAGTGAGTAGACTCGTCTATTGTTCTATTTTAAAATTGTGGTTAATAGATTAAGGAATTTTTAAGCTGCATTGACCAAAGGAAGTAGCTAATAAATTGTCCACCATGGGACAAGCCACAACACTTAGCTGAGTGAGTGGGCAACCCTGCTTCTCGCATGGTAGCTTGTGATTATTGACAAGGTTGTGCTCGAGTTTGGCTGGAAACACTGCAGTGATGTTCTGGAAGACCCAAGCTTGTTTTCCAATTCTGGGCCCATTGAGAATTTTCTAGTCCTAATTCCTTAACTTTTAGAGCCCTTGTTATCCTTTAACAGCTTATCTATCCCAAGTTCCAAGGCCCTTCGAAGGAATTTCCAAGTAGCCATCTTACAAAAAGAACATGATTGATTCTTGTCAAATAATTATACTAGGAAGTTCAAGGCCCAGATACTCTCAGGCTCCATGGATGTGACATGTAGACTACTATAACCTGGATTCTCTAAATGAATACCAAGTCTTGTTCCCAGAAAGGGCTGTTGTGGCTAGTCCTTCTTGGCATGGTTGTCTCTCTCCTCTATATAGTAATCTTTTTTGTTTGAGTCCCGCTTTATCTAGTATATATTTTTCCTGTTTATGGTTGTAATAGGGATTTTTGTTTTGTGACACAGTGTAGGTGCAAACTTGAACCAGTGTTGTTAATAAAAAGTGGGTTGGGGAAGTGCTGGTGATGGTGGACCATGTATAACACTTTGGATGGTTTGAGGCTCTGAGCAAGTGGCAGAGCACAAGATATCCTTATTGTTGGCAAATTAAGTCCTGCTTCATTGAACCCAATACACTCTTCTTCTTATGTAGTGGATGAGGAACTTGGTTACTAGGTTAAATAACTCCCTACTGTTTGGTTTTAACTTTTAAGGATATTAGAGATATGGGGTTACGATCAGAAACATGGGTTTTAAGGTGAAGAGGCTCATTAATTGGGTCTGACGATAAAGAGTTGAAGGGAAAGGGTGTTCCTGTGTTGGCGGAGAAAAGATTTGAGATTTTACAAGCTATCCATGATCTGCTTTTATTGGAGGATACTGAAAGCCTTTGGCTAGAGGTTTTGGACGTTTAAACGGTTGATTAGTTAGCTACCTCGTGATAGATATTAGGCCACACATTAAGATTAGAAGTGGAGGCTAGTTAGCCGCTAGAGGAGATTGTGGCAACTATGGAACATATCACCTACATGATTTGGTTGAAGTTAGTTACATGCGGTTAGGTATAGCAATGGCCAGCGCATTCTGGGGAAGATGAAGAACATGGGAGGATTGTTAACCCTAGGGTATACGGCCATTACGAGTTTTTGCAAAGGCCTACTCAAGGTGCCAGGTTAGGGGTCATAGCATTATTTGGCACTAAATGAATGGAGAGTAGAGGTGGCATTCTCAATATAAGTAGTGTTGTGAATGGGAGAGGTGAGGATGAGTTGGTGCATTACAAAATCTTGATCTTGTGTGGTGGCTGGCGTAGGATATTTTCCATGAGCAAATCATGTCTTGACACCCAATGGGAGTGCCTTTCTCTCACTTGCAATGGCCATTTACGCGCACTTCTGGTACCTCCCTTCCCAGATGTTCCAGTTGTTGATAAGCATGTTCTACGTGTGGTTCCAACCAATCTACACAGTTTCTTCCTGCTCTTCCCAAGAATTTCCTACTGGTTCTAACTCATGGCTCTCTACATCCTAAACTGAGACATATGGGTTATGGCTACACCCTCAATCTGTTCACTGTCTCTTGAATTTCTTTCTGAAACAACAGTTGGTTTAGACATTAGTGTTCGTTGGGATTGTGCTTGGGGAACTTGATGGAATTTCCGCTTCAGAAGAGCTGCATTCCTACATTGAGTTGGAGATTGTAAAAGGAATCCCATAGTCAGATCCCAGAGATTGGAGGAGCAATAATTATTTGAGAGAATCAAATGCAAAAAGCATTCCATGGGTACTCTTGAATCCAACCATGGAAGAGTCAAATTGAAGATATTGGTGGATTTTGGACTGAATAATAAAACAATTTTTTCCTGAAGTGTAACTAATTATTGATGGACTCTGTTATGTGCAGCAGTTAAAATACAAATGCTCTATGGTTTAGCTGAGATTGTGTTTCCGGAGTTTACCTGTAGGACTCTTTGACTAACAAGCTCGTTTTTTAGTAGCAAAACTGCTCAATTTTCTGGTATAAGTTTTATATTTATGTCATGGAGCATGAAAAACTACTCGGTTTACTCCCTTATTATTTCAACATATTTAGCATGTACTCTTGTTTTTGATGAGCGATATTGTATGTATGATTATTTTATACATCATAACTTAAAGTGTTAGTGGAACTTTATATTTCCATAGATGTTAGTGATTTTTTTTTTTTAATCCTTCATTAAAAAGTTCTGTATATCATTGCCTTTGTCTCCCTAAAACTTGTTATGGTGAGGGACTACAATGTCGATTGTTTACAGATGGAAACCCCCATGTTTGTCTACAGCAAATGTGGGAGTTTTGAGTTTTTCCAGGGTTCTTCCTTGAACTTCTGAATGTCTGCACTTCAAATTTTTCGGACTATTTTGTTTTTGGATTAATGCATTTTGTGATTGGAAAGATGTTGCATGAGTTTTCTATGAAGGGTCATCAAACTTATACACTGGAAACTTCAAAGTACTGTGTTGTAAGTTTGAGTATTTGCCAAGACTCTTGGAATTTCCATGCATACATGCTGAGAATTTATGCTGTTCACACTTGCAGAGTGTGGTTTGGACCCCTTCAAAGGTAATTGCCCGTCTTGGTCAAGAAATTAATGATCCAAGTTCATACTTGTACTGGGCTTACAAGGTAATTTTTTGAGTTTATTACTTAGCTAGATATCTCAGCACCATTAAGTGCTGGTTTTATGAAATTTTATTCTTATTTACTGTAGAAAGTGTAACTTGAGTAATCTTTGTTATCTAGGTCATTTTGACTTTCTATAGCTTATTTAAAGCCAGATTCTCTCTCTCTCTCTCTCTCTTCTTCTCTCTCTCTCTCTCTCTCTCTCTACTCTCTACTCGTACGTACGTACGTACGTACGTTACGTACGTACGTACGTACGTTACGTACGTACGTA